TATTAAGCTTCTTTTAAAAATTATGTTATTAATATGTAATAATTTACAAAATATTTAAGGATTAAAAAATATCTAATTATTCATATTATGAATGGCAAATAAATTTTTGCTTAATAAAGATCATCTACTTGATTTATAAAACTTTAAAAATGAATTCTAAATCTAAAATAGTTTTTATATTAAAGTATAACATATATAGACCTTTAAACAGAGTACAAAAATTTTAACTTAGAACTTTTAATATGAGTATGTAATTGGGTAGACTTCATTTAATAAATTATCTAATATTACAAAAAATAGCAAAGAAGAATTCAGCTCTGCATATTTAGCAACCTAATTGGATAGCATACAAATAGTTGTATAATTGTTTGTAATTATTTTTAATATAAAGTTGAGTTAATTTTACTAAAGAATGAGATATTGAACACTAACAGATATTAAAAACTTTCAATAGAATCACTTGATCAAGGTTAGCAAAAAAAATACTAAAGAACCCACAAGCCAAAATTAGAAAATCAATTTGTTGAATAGCGCATTGAGTATTATGCTATTTGACAAGTTGATTTTGATGATTTTGAAATCGTCAAAAAAATATCAAAGTTATCAGGAAACCACATTAATTAAACTGAAAAATATTAAAAAATTTTATTATAAGACTACATATAATTTTGATTTACTTAGTATATCGCATGTATAGAAAAAATTGCCAGTTCCTAATTTTTTAATTAATAAAATAAATCACCTTCAATGAAAAATTCATTATATTTGCGTTAGAATAAAGTTCAAATCCAATATAACTTATTCCTTCGGCAAATTATCTAAAGACATCAAAAGAACAAAATTCTCTTATATTACATCATGTAATGATGGTATACACGTATAAAGTCTCAATAATTATTGTTTTTGGATATCATTGGACGTTTGCAAACTATATTTATACTTTTATATCACGCATATATTCTAGTCAAATAGCATTTATACATTTTTTTAAAATCGTACAGTATATTATTAGTATTTACCGTAAAGTTAAAGTATTTGCAAATAAGTGTCTAGCAACAGATAATGTTAAATAAAAGGCATTGACACACGTACGCACGTACAGTACGTAGCTGGTAGGTATCAGGTATCAAGTATAGTACGTAGAGGATTTTTTCCCATATTGCTAAATATAGTATAATATTGTATATATGCTAGTACAAATATAGTCTGTAAAAAACTTAGTTTATAAGATTAGCAAAACGGTAAACAAATATATTAGTTTAGGCAAAATAAATAAATGAATAATGATCGACTTTATATCACTATTGTTGGGGTACAGTATATCAGTGAAAAGTGAAGTGGATCTTTGATAACTTTAAAGTCGTGTTATACTCTTGTTATAAATACGTATCAGTTGATGATTTTCGTAGCCGCCAAAAAAGCAATTATTTATTATAATATAAGTCTATTACTTTTATGGCAAAAAAATTGTAATTTGTATAAAATTCTAATTTGAGCTATTCTGATAAATGCGCGCCGAAAATTTTTACAAGAGAGAAGACAAGATATTATGTTTCTAAGTGCTTGTCGATTATTGGAAGTAAAAAAAGTCTATGAAATTACTTAATAAATTATTAAATATTTTCTTAATACGTAAATAAAGTTCATTCTTAATGTTATTAATATTATTAATAAAAGTTATTTTTTTTTTATATAAATGTTAATATAAAATATAGATTTTATAATAATAATTTATGCTTATCGTTATCTATTATCGGAGATTTTTTGTGAACCGAATTATGTGGCGTTGTAAATCACATGTTAATTTTTTATACTACTGTCTAGATTAACACGTTAAAATCAATATATAGATATACTTTATACAAAATAATAAATACTATATATTTAAGATTTTTAACGATTAAGTTTAATCTTACAATGCGGAAAAAAAAAAAAATAAAAGGCGCAACTTGATTTTTTCCTGTCGGAAAGAAAATCACGAAATTAGGTATGTAACAATGTTGAAAATCATGTTTGATCATCGACCAACTAAAGAGACAAGATTTCCTTAGTATAACAAGGATATACAAGAGTATAGGCGCAGTGATACTTGAGAAACCTGTATGTAACTGAAATTTTCTTTTTTTCGCTTTTTTTTTCTTTTTTTTTTTTATTTTTTTTTTTTAGAAGGGATAAAAAATTAATTTTACACGCATTAAATGCCAGGTATTTTTAATAAACAGAGTGACAAGATGTTTTTAAAATGTGTGACATTAAAAAAAGCTTTTTTTTTGTTGCCTAATTTATAAATATTACAAATATTTATCTAAATTATTCGCCTTGTGACACTTGAAACCTTAAATTATTTTTGACATCATTTGTACCCGACACGTCAAAGAAATTTGTTTTGTATTGGCGCAGCCACGTAAAAAAAAAAAAAAAAAATATTTTTTTTTTCTATTTCTATGCTATGTTTGAACTGTTGAATATTGATCAAGTAGAAACATCACTTTTCAGATCTTTTTTTTTTTTTTTTTTCCTCTCTCTCCGATAAGATAATCCAATGTTGAAGGATAAATCCAAGAATGGTTCAAGACTTTGAAAATTTTGATATAATGTAAAGCCACCGCGTAGAGTTGATCAACAAAAAAAAAAAAAAAAATCAAATAATATACAATCACTAAATTAGTTTATATAAAGGCTTGGCTGAAGGCTGGGAACATCTGTTTAAATGATTGTAAGTTACAAAAAGAGAATTATTGATTTGTTAAAAAGTCAAGTCTAAGTAAAATAAAAAAATAAATCAAAACAAAATAAGGCTTTGTTCGTGCAACAAAAGAAATAAATTTTTTATTGCTTTGAAACAAAAAGAACGTGAATATTGAACTTGGCTTAATATTTTCTCTCCGAGCCTTGTAAAAGTATAGATCTTAAACGACTGTCAACACATGAAAATATATGTTTACGGTTGAGTCTAATAAGGAAATATCATCAAGGTTTAATTATGAAACCCTTTTCTGGAAAACTTTGTATACAATCCCATGGTATTATGATATTAAAAGAAATGTCCGAGCCATAGGAACGCAGCCACTAATTCAAATATTCCGAAGATACCAAAAGGAGCCGTTATAATGGTAGTGGATTAATCGTGCCAGTTATCATTTTATTAAGCATTATTTCATTTTTAATCTATTAAAGCTAATTTTATTATGAAATAGAAATAAAAAGATGAATTATAAAATCAAGATTACTTAGCGAAACATATTTAATATATGATCATGTAAACATAAACACATTCTAAAAGATTTATTAATAACGATAAATTATCACGATTCTTTATAGCATTCATTCATAAAACGCGTAATTAATTTTTCTTAATTGATAATTAACTTTATTAAGTTAATCATTTGCCCAGAGTTGTGGTCTTTTGCGCAGGTTTGGACAGGCAATTCGATTCAGTCACTCAGTACTAGGCGGAACAAGATCATTAAACATCATTACTTATTCTTGATCACAAACAAAGCCCCGCGGGCTTTTTGGACAGTATTTCATGGCTGTGTGTGATGGGAATTAGTCGATCTAAAATTCGAAGCAAGGGTCTACTACGAGCCCATAGACCTGGCTCTGTATTTAAGATGTGGCAAAGTGTAGACCTTTAAAAATTCAATTGGACGCGCTAGAAGGATAAGCCTACTCATGATACATATTTACATTATATTTACAATCGATAAATTCAATAAAAAACAGATACGAAATCATTTATTTCTCAGCCATGTTAAACGTAATAATTCGAAAAGAAACAGTTAAAGAGAAAATCAGACCACTAACAAAGCCTTGACAACTCACCGATTATTCGCTATCCTATCTCGTGTCACTTTTTACCCAAGCCTCTATTCGTCATTTCAATATATTTCGCGTCGTAGAAATCACTTTATCTACAAAAGGAAATTAAAATAAGGATGTTTCCGTGTATCACTCAAAAATTTTCGTGTCAATAAAAACAGTAATAATAATAATAATAATAATAAACATCAGTTTGACTCACCGACATATTCGAAAGCTGCCTAAAATGAAAATCATGCTTATTTCTCGCATGACACGCATATCATTTTCGGAACTTTCACGGATGTGATATGGTTTTTTTGGTCAAAGGTCTGTATCACAGATGTAGGGTGTTCATGTATTGAACACGATTTCTAGAATTTTAGCTAAAAAACGAAAATTTTTTTTTGGTCACAGCCCAAATCGCAGATGCTCGAACATCTGATAAGTAAATAATTATATTATTTCCCATAGTTCTGACAGGACATCTGATAAATATTTAAAAGCCAAGAATTCCCACTGCTGATCCCCTCCTTCACTTTATTAAATTTAAATATTATAAAATGTTAACATAACTCTCATTAAACAAAAAACTGTGTATAAAAAAAATTATTTTTTTTTCTTAAAGTCATCTTGTTAGCTATTTAAAGCATATAATGGATTTCTTCAATATTACCGCCAATATTTTAAATATACTGACGCACCAGTACTCTTTCAATAATTGTAAACTCGCAACAAGAGAAGGTTTTATCCATATCTACCTTGATCGCCTTGACGCATTAAATGACGAGTCCTGATTTATCCGAAAAATCGCACGTTTGTTTGTACATATCAAAAAAAAAAAAAAACTTCACTTGATATTTAAGTCTCTTTAGAAAAATTTTATTTATTATTTTTGATTATTATTTTTTTTTTTCTTTTTCTTTTTTATCAAATTTTTGAATTCAGCCGAAACCGAAATGATAATATGTTACACCAAAAGTTTGACATGATGCTATCATATCGTTACATTATTCCGGAGTAAGTCTCACGTGATAATAAACACGTATTACAGAAAATTTTTTTTTTTGAAAATTACCATCTGATATATATCATTTTATTACACGCGTGTATGTTACTTTAGACGTTACACTGCGTAATGGACCATGCGTCAGCGTCAAAGAATCACGATCAGGTCGAAATAACTGCTCGCTAACAAGATGCCGCACATTGTCGCAATTGCAGGATTTCCAGATGTAAAGTCTCGTACTTTTATATTTGATATATTCCTGCATTTAAAGCAAGCAATCATTCTCGTAGTGATTGTTTAGTCGCATTGGTATTTTCTTGTAAAGATTATACCGAAAAATTTGTTACGTGTTGTATAGACATATATACATATATACATATATACTTTAAAATTTGTGTCATTTGGAAGGAATTTATAGAACGTAATTTTACACATATTAATCTTTTTTTTTTTAAAGACTTTCAGTGGCACAAATCGTTTTTTTTTTAAACAAGGTATCAAATTTTTTTTATATTTTTTGTGATACCTATATATATCTCCATTAGAATTATATTAGAATATCTCGTGTCATATATTGAATTTATATAATTGAATTTATAAGAAGACTATGATTTATAGTCTTTAATTAATTAGTATTAGAGAATTTCATTTTTTTTTTATGCAATCTTTATTAACGAATCTTTAGAATACAAAAAAATACATTTCCGCAAGTTGGTTGTTATAAATTTTATTCTAGTATATACTATTATATACTTATATATATATTATATTATCCCATAACTTATTGATTATTTTGATTTTTTTTTATCGCTAATTAGCGCATTTTTTAATATATCAAAGTTATGGAGTAATTATAATTAAAACA